AAAAAAAAAAAAAAAACGGGCAGAGCACGCGCAAAACAAAAACTAGTTTTAATAATATAATAGCTCATTACTACCAAAAACCCTTATCTACTGACTTGAATGTCAAAATGTGTATACTGATTTGAATATAAAAGTGTCCAGCTTGAGATTCAAGCTCGAGACCTGCAACCATCCTGGTCAGAATCACGCATCACCTCAGCTGTGTTATGCCGTTTTTTACCTGAGCTATTTCGTGCAACAACTCTTCCCCAATTATCAATGAAAAGCAAAATGGACAACCGAAAACTGAGGTGCAGGTTTCTTCCACTTTTTATGTTTTTATTTTAGTAAAATGAAAATGATTCTGACGTAGATTAAAATTACAACTGAGGATAACATGGTATAGACCCAGGTCGGATTAGGTTTCCGTCGGCCTGCAAAGGGTCGGTTACTGTAGCTTTTTCTTTAGAGAAGGTGATCAGGGACCGGCAGATCGAAGGGAGAGAGAGGGGGATTTTGGAGAGGGGATTGAGGAGAGAGCAGAGAAGAAATTGAAAGAACCTAGTGGTGCCATAGCCGTAGAAGGATCTAAGGAGAATGAGAGTCTTCTCTGGGTAATCGAACCAAACGGCACTAAAGAAAGGAGAAATCAGAGCAGGAGATCCGATCGGAGGAGTTGCATAAGATCGCGGAGGCTGTTGATAATTGCATTATAAATCAACAAAAGCTTCAATTACTTCTCCTCCGCTGTCTCCAGCGAGAACCAAGTAAGTCCGGTTAATTTTTCTCCATTCTTCCTCTTTCATTTTTTATTCGATCCAGCTCTTCTGAATTTGCTTTTGCTTCTAGATTATCATCGCTTCTCAAGACAGTTAATGCATATGACAAAAACAAAGAGTAATCTCAGTTTTATTTTGTCAATTTCTCTATTTTATTTTGTCTAATTTTAGTTCATTTATTTGCTTTGCCATATGCTACCAGACAGGTACGTATGTTTCTTTATCTTTAGTTGAACCAATGTTTTCTTATTTATTGCATTTTTGAAATTTACCTATTTTCCTCTCATGTGTGATGTATGCATTCTGTTCTAATGGTGTATCCATAAACCATAAATCTCTATTGCTGGAGAAATTGTGCTCATGATCGTCAATCCAGTTGGTTCTATCCGATTTTGTCTCAAAAAATCTATAGACGTAACGAGTTGATTAAATGTTGTGATTGCTAAATGCTGCTCTGTTGCTAAATGTTGGTCTATTTTATTCTATTTTCTGTTTTTGGTCATCAGTAACATGATTTTCCTTTTTTTATTGAAGATCTTTAATTGTTTCCAATTTATTTATTTTTTAATTGGAATTAATTTTGAGGGTGTTTTGCCATTATACAGATTGCCTGCTTAACTCTTTTTTTAAGGCAAGGCTTGTGAGTATTGGTTGCTGAAGAACTGACTTGGGTATAGAGATTGGTTTGGTTGCTCTGCTCTTGTTCTACTTTGTTCCTTTTTGTTTAGAATTTTCTGTTCAGGATTTGTGTGACTGTAACTTTGTTCTGATGCCATGATTTACCATGACTAGTTGGAGAAAATGCTTTTGACATTTCTCTGTCTCATTCTAGAAAATGCGCAGGATTTTGATCTACTTAATGATATGCTTGTTCATGGTTTCTTTGCTGCAAGGCTTGTTCTCTTTGCCAAGAGTATGGGTTGCACAAGAACTGTAACGTTGGAATAGGGATTGATTTGTTTGCTCTACTCTTGTTCTTCTTTATTCCTTTTTCTCTAGAAAGTTTCTTTTTAAGGTTACTGTGACCATAAGTTTGATATGCTGCTGTGGTTTACTGTGACTATAACTTTGATATGTTTTCTGCAGTATGTTTTTAAGCTGTTGGGCTAAAATGCACTACAACTCAAAATGTCCTCTAAGGGGTAAATGTCGCTTCATTTGCTTTTCAAAGTGTTTCTTCAAAACTCCTTATTAATTTTGTTGATATTGTTGTTATAAGCTGATAAGTATTTGTTTTATACCATCATCAATATTCTTAGTTCTGTAGTTTTGGACAAATTATCGTTTTTGGTCCAAAGTGCTATTGTAACCTTCAGCTAGACTTCTCAAGATGGCTAAGAGTAAAAGGAAGATTTCTGGAGATTTCTTTCTATGATTACCATATTAGGAATTAGTGAACAGAATGTAGAAAAAAAATAATTTAATGTTTAGGATCAGTGATTTGTCTTATAGTTTTGACTAGATGAATGTATACAAGGTATTGATGTTACACGATGATATATAAATTATAACATTTTTTTGTTTTCTTTTACAAAATTGTCTAAGGATTTCAGCTGTTTATTGGAAATATAATTAAAGTTTTTTTTTTTTTTTGCCACAAGCCTAATGCTTATGACAAATAGTTTTACACTTTAGCTAAGTATATGAGTCTGTTTGCTTCAATTAGTTTGTTGGTCACTATTTTATCAGATTTATCTATATAGTTCAGTTTAAACATTTTGCCACGTACTGCTTGTGATTGTGGCTAAAAATACTATTCACAGCCACGGAACTCTTATTTCCAGTAGGTAACTTTTAGCCACGCCACTTCTAATTACAGCAAGCTGTGGGAAACAATTTTATGGCTAAATGATTTAGCCATAGCATTTTTGTTATTCAGCTATAGAACTTTCGGCAGCTACAGGTGTAAAATGTAGTATTAGGAGATGGAGATCAAAGGAAACCAGGGAGATCCTGGATTATATTACCAGCGGTATTGCTTCACTTTTTATTGGGGCTGGTTTATGGCTGCTGAAAGATCTTGTCATCTGGTCAATTGCTCATTCTTTCCAAAGTGAAAACTTCTTTGACAGGATTCTGAAAGCAATGTTTCATCAATCTGTAATTAAGAATCTCATAGACTCTTCTCCATGGTTTATGAAACCTTATAAGAAACACATGAGAGGATATAGCCGCCGCTACCGCTTGTCGAGTTGGGTCGAGGAAATGAAAAAGGCCAAGTGTCTGCAGTCTCAATAAACTGTTTATTGATGTCATAAGCAGAGTTGATGAGCTCAAACTTGAGGGTAAGAACGGGGAGTATGCAGACCGCGTTACTGGTGAAATTTTCGACAACAGGTTATCAAAGTAACAACATTATTAATTTATTTAATCTTCTCTAACATTTTCACTAATTCTCTCCATTTGATTGACAAGGCCTAACGAAGCACCTAAATCTTATCCGATGGGTTGGATTGGATTGGATTTTTATTAATGTTGGTTTTAGTTGGGTTGGATTTTCATGGATCTAGAAAAAGGTCTAGTAATAAGGTCTAGTCTGGTTGAAGGCCATGGATAATCCGTAAAACCATAAAACGATTTAAACCTAATAAAATTACAATTGTTTTTAAACTAAGATCGCTTGCGCGAGGCCATTGGTTAGGTAATTATTAAAAGTTCAACACCTAAATTATCACGTGTTTGAAGCGGTTTTAAGAATAAAGGGCTGAAGTTATTGTTATTTTTTTTTATAGTTGTTGTTATTATTATTATTATTATTATTATATAATAAAAAATAATTCTTTATCATTTTATTCACTCTATTCATATATGCTTATGGCTTGAATCTAAAATTTTTTACTCCACTTACAAGAGAGATTATCACCAGGCAGCATGCTTTAAATGGTTGGCAATAAAAAATTGAACTTCAATGTTCACAAGACATGCTATCAGCTTTGGAACAAGAATTGCTAAAATAAAAAGCTAAGTGTAAAGGTTCAATGTGGTCCCACACCTCTATCATATATATAGTGATCCGTTTTGGCCAGTAAATTACCGTACATGCATATGCTTCTTCTTCTTCTTCTTCTTTTTTTTCAATAAAATTAAATTTATTATTAATTTAGAGTATAAGGGATCATGCATATACATCTTAATTTTTAATGTTCATTTTTTTTATTAAAATAAGGGGAATTGTTGTATTTTTTTTTATAGAAAATACTAAATTTAGTAATTAAAGAAATAGAGATTATGTAGCATATATACCATATATAATCCCAACATAAACTCACAAAGTGCATAAAAACTATACTGACAACATATAGTAATAGGCGAAATCGCTCGGACATGGGTATAAACAATTAATTAAAAGCAAGAAGCTACCTAGAAATAAAAAGATTATAAGAGTAATCGCGCTAAATGGGCAAACCAAGGCCACAGAATAGTAAAGAATAGTAAAGGGACTTGATTTTGGCACTTTGAAGTTTCTCTTGATAAATTAACTTCACTTTCAAAGATAGAAAAATTAGTCAACTCTTTTAATTTTGAGATTTTAAATTTAAATATTAAATTGCATGAACTTGAGATTTGAAAAGGGGGAGATTTCACTTTTGTTTGCCAAAAAAAAACATCTATTGAAATTAGAGTAGACTTTCTAAATTTAAAGTGAAATGAAGGGTAATTTAGTAATAAAAGGATTTCTTTAGTTTTTAGGTGGAGCCTACTTGCCATGTCATTAAAAAAAGAAAAGCCACATCACTAGTTACACCACATCTGGAAAATGAGCAGTACTAGAGGCACTCGCCTCCTCCACTCTCCAGCCAGCACATGCTTTTTTATTGGGCCACGTAAGCTTGGTTGGTATGACATGATTACCTCTCCATGCCAACGTAACGTGGCCCAATGAAAATGGAAGTGTTGGTTGGAGAGTGCAAATGGCGAGTGTTCCTAGCATTGCTCCTGGAAAATATAGCAGACCGGACGGATTCTGTGAAAATTTGGGGCCTTCCTATGCGTAAAATTCATGACGGTTTTGATTATGGATAACAATGTTGTACAGGGTGCAAAAATAGGGAGTGTGGCACTCTGATCTTCCTTCAGCTGTTTTTGTCCGTTACATGGTCAAAATTTTTTGAATTCTAATATCAAGATATAGACATAGCTAGTGTTATAAATAAATATATATATATATATCGGGAAAGTGCGGCTCAGTCCTACCTTCAAAAAAAAATTGGAGTCCCAAATCAAACGACGTCGTTTCTCTTAATAGTGCCCTTACTGCTTTTTGCCCCTTTCTAGAATCACTACCATTTCTATCTCCCTCGCCTCCTTCGAGCCTTCTGGAATCATTTCCTTCTCCATCTCCCTCACTTCCTCAACTCCTCCAATTCCTTCAATTTCTCAAACACAATTCCACGCCGCCGACTTAATCC